GCCCACCCAGGTTACAAGACCCCCGGGCCCACCCAGGTTACAAGACCCCCCAGGGGCAGGAAGAGAAGTGAAACCTATCTCTAAGGGGGAGTAGCTAGAAAAATAGGTAAGAGAAAAGAGATTCTAATGAAGGGAGAAAGGAAATGGGAATAAGAGACACTGCCTCACAGTGCCTCCTCTCGCATAAATGCCAGCATGACTTCATGCATTTTGGTCCCCCATAAATCCCTCCACAAGCCCAGAGAAGAAAAGATCACAAAGGCTACACTGTTCATTTCACAGAGGAACAAGACTGGAGAAGCCAAGATTCCACTGCCTTCCAGAACCCAGGCATCCAGCCCCAACTCAGCAGGTCTCAAACATCAGTTTTTGAGTAATTCTGCTTTCAGTTGGACCAAGTGAGCCCTATAGATCTCAGTTTTTGACAAACATGCCAAACAATTCACATGCAGATGTAGAGAAAAGTATAGCTTTCACATGCGCAATTTGCTTCTGTACACATTTTTGCTAAAAACCGGAAATCATAACTAATGTCATTTTAAGTAAGGCAGCTTCTAAGGGATTATGTAGAAGTCAGGCGGGCACAGGCTCATTAATTCCAGGAAGGGAGTAATTACCACCCGGTTCCAGGAACTAACCAGTTCCTTATCTAGAGGCCACCTGGCCACAAGGAAGATAAATGATTGGGAAATACAATGTTCCTTATTGGGGTGCCAGCCCGCTAACGCCCACCAATAAATCTAAAGGTCACCTCAAATAACCCGTAAGCAGTATAAAACTCATCCTGTTGCAAAAATCTGTCTAAAAAACTGTATAAAAAGATCCTATGTTAAGAGCTCGGGGCCGCTTCTGTCCTGAAGATGGAGCGACCCCAGCATGCTGGAATAAAAACCTGTTGCTTATTGCAACGGTCTCTGTCTTGTGGTCTTTGTGAAGTGAGCCATCCCGATGTGTGGGATTTGTGCATGTTGCACCGGTCTTACATTTTTGGTTTGTTGGCAAGGAAGTGGCTCTCTCTGGGACTGGAGACTAGAGAACAGAGGATTGCTCGAGCAGGTACCGTGGTTGTCTCTGTCTCTCTGCTGTGTCTGTCTTTGAGTCTTCTTTGTTGTGTACTGTAATCTTGTTTCGGATTTTCTGAGGCTCCAAGGCGGAGCCATCGGTCTGTAGTGGTCATAGCAGTGGGTTGACGTACCAGCGCATCACGGCCAAAGGAATCCTGGAGGACGCTCTAGATTCCTCTGTGGGAGACGGACAAGTTCGGCTCCATGGGAGATCTCTAGGAAGGAGACCCCTCCCGAGTTCTCTGATAATCTGGTTGTGGTACGCATGGCAGGGGCGCATCAGTGTTTTGGTTTTTGTTTGTCTGGTTGCGTGTGTGTGGGGACTGACGATTT